AATTTCAATGGTATAAGAAACTTTACTTTAACATGTGATAAATATTTTATTTATTTGTCATTTCAGATAATAGTAATAACAGTAATAGTGCACTAGAGTTAGAAGTATACCGGAAGAATTCTTTATTACCAGAATGGAAATGTCAAAGCACAAGCAATCATCCACAGAAAATTGTATCATACACCATACTACATGTGTTGAAGACGATGATTATTTGGTCAGTCCTCAGAACTAAGATTCCTAGCAAACTTTATTTGAAGTAGCCAAAGCGAGAAACCATGGACCTATTTTAGAAATTGCAAAGAGGCTCAAAGACGGAGATGTTCCAAACATCTTTTATCATCGAAAATGTAGAAGCATCTACATCATGATAGATTTAGAGACACTGAAAAGGAAAGCAGATGATACATTTAGTGATGTGACTGCCTGTACATCAAAAAGAGCATCCAGAATTCCATCTAAAGCAAGGGTATATGATCCAATGTGCATTTTTTGCAACAAAGTCAAGTATCAAAAGCGCTCCAACTCTCGTGAAAAGCTCACGCAAGCTGTGCAATTGAGAGCAGATCAAAACCTATGAGAATGTGCAATCCAAAAGGGGGATGAAAATATTCTAGAAGTGACAAGTAGAGACATAGTGGCGGCAGAGACTCACTATCACATATCATGCTACAAGAATTATACAAGAATGAAGACAAAAGAGCATGATGAGACTGCAAAACAGAATGAAACAGATGAAAGTGAAATTTATAAAAAGGTTGAAAGAGCCTCTTATGCAGATTTTTTCCAATACATCTAAACAGAAATTATTTATAATAAGAAGATCATACCAATCACTTCTTTGACTTGAATCCTTCATGATGTCTGACGGAGTTAAATTCCTGCAGGATTAAACAAGGAAGCACATTCTCAGACTGGTATCTGAGCTTGAGATGCAGTGGATATATTTCCAGATGACAGGGGAGCAAGACAACTCTACATAGGGAGCTCAGAGTTTGGAAAGCAAAGTCAACAAACTTCAACAAGTCATAGATCAGACTTCATCAACAAAGCATGACAAGTACTCCCTGGCCATATCATCCATCAGATGTGAGTAATAACACTCCCTTCTCCATACCTAATCAACTAGAACGATTTCTTGTTGGACCTCTGACTGGAGATCCTGATAGCAAAATGGAAACACATAGGATTACTACTCTGGTGCAGTTATTTAGCCAGGACATGGTATATGCTGTGACGTGTAGACAATATAAACCACCAAAACATGTGCTGCTTCCATAAGCAGTAAAAACACTTACTGGGAACATTGAGATCATCCAGATACTGAACAATCTAGGTCATGGGGTATCGTAAGAGAATGATACTGCTCTGTGTCTTCAAAAGTTAGCATTAAGCCTAAACCAGAGAGTTGTACTTCCAGCCTTCATTAAGCAACATATATTCACCAATCTTGCATGGGATAATATTGACAGAATCGAAGAGACTCTCACTGGAAAGGGCACATCACATCGAGGCAATGGCATAGTGGCACAGCCCAAAACCTATGGACCACACCTCCCAAGAGCCAAGCTTCCACACATTGAGAAACTGAAATAGAGATCACTTGACATTGAGCCAAGGATGTTGCAGAAATTGCTCGCAACAAGAACCTGGTATTGGACCCTTGCAAGGCAGATGGATTCACAGAGTCAAGCAATTCCAAGCTGGACTGGCTTTAATATCGAAACCAGGGACCAAGAACAAATCTTAGAAGACATTGTTGACTACCTTCCAACCATCAATGCACCAGCTACAGAATTGACCACAGTGTTTGAAATG